GGACACGCCCATTGCTAAAATTATATTTTGTTAGAGTTACAGTGACTGATTTATTGGTCCTTTTTATATCCTGAGACAATGGCGCTTTAATTATTATATCGTAAATGGTTCCCATGTTATAGTTCCACTATGGATTGATAACATGCGCTAAATCTATACAATCCGTGCACCGGCTGTACTCCAGACCCCTTTGCCCCAAAATCTATCATAAGTCGGACAATGCCATGTGCGCGAATATGTAGCAGTGGTGAATAAAGGGATGATATATTGTTAAGTCTGATGTGATTAAAAAAACCATTTCCTTAGTGCTGTCAAGGTGCATTATTACTAGTGATGTTGATGCTGGTCGATATCGATGCTTGTGATTCAATTTCTCGATTTTATTTTAATGTTATGAGCCGTTTAGTTAAGAACGCAGTTCAGTTTGGTGTAAGAAAACTTAACGTTTTTTAGGGTAAGTTTCAGTGATGAGTCTTATCACGAACTATGTCTGTCCAAAGTTCAATACATTGTGACACTTAGGGCTAATGTCGTTCCTAAATCTAACAAAAAAACAGAAATTTCAGCCTATAATTATTATAGACGATTCTACTACAAGACGAGTAATATAATCATAGTTAGAAATAAAATTATTATTTATGTATATCGATACACAAAGTAGACCAACCCTATTACCTTTCAGGTGAACGTAATCGTTGTGGGAAAGAATTCTTCTATCTCTTTCTAAATTGTATCTATTTCATTCTAAAATTACTCCCTAGTCTATTATAAAAAAAAACATTCAATAAATTCAAGACACAATTTGATTAACGAACACGGTAAAACTACTGTACAAGATAAAAGTCAGTTAGTCCAGGATCCATCGCCCATTTTTGCACTTGATTACTATCAAGCTAATTTTCAGTAAGTAGCTTTATTTTTATGAGACGCCCAATAATTTCCTGTACGAAACTCTCGATTGTGGTAGCTAAAAGAAGTAGCAAGGATAAAATATGTTGATTTGATGATTCTCAAATATTTATTACTAACTAACTGTGTTGACTGCCTCAACATAACTGAACTCAACAACCCAAAAATATCGTTTCACAGGGACTCGAAGGCAGTATCAGGAAACGCAAGATATATGTTTTAAACCATTGTAACCAATGCATTGCTCTTCGTAGCAATCTGCCGTATTATTGAAATTTTTAATTTTGTAATGAATCAATAACTTTTGTTGCAGGCTCAAACAATAAGATAACTTTTTTAAAGATATTCCTCAAATAATTATTCTATTTTTAACCATAAATTGTAGTTAACTTTGTTGTAATCAATATTTCCATTATATGTACATAAAAACGTAGTAAACTAATAATAATAATCATTAAGTGCGCAATGAAAATATCTTTAAAAAAATATTTAGCTAATTGTTCTTACATTTTGTACTTTACAACATTAGTTTACAGCCATTTTCGGGTCTTTTGTCGGTTTCCCTTTGTTAAAATCAAACGTGCCGCTCGATACGCACATTTCTATACACAAAATCGATTTTTATGTAAAATATATCGCAAATTGACCCTAATAGCTTAGAGAAATCTATTACGAAAAGTAATGATTATCATGAGAGTCCAGAAAAATTATTTTGTATCGATATTCCAAATATATAGGATATGTGGATACTGGATAGGCATTGAGTCTGTCAAATGTGTCAAACCTCATACATAAAAAATGGTTTGACAGCTTTTGAAACTCGATTCTTCGAGCTTTTGAAGTTCGTTTGACCTGTATTAGTTGCACATCACGCGAAACACAAAATTATATTTCCGGCGGAAATTGAACTCAAAACCTCTAGGTTGTGAGCCTAAGGCAGTCCCGACAGTTATCATAACAATACCTAATAAATACAGATAATTCCTAAAAGATAAGTCCAATAGGACGCATTTAGTTCATATTATGTAATGTATAGAGTATCTAGTACTATAAATCGGTTTTCGCTTAACTTAGTGATGATAATGGCGAGTAGTTCAGTCAAATACATTTTTAAATCACAATATTTAATGTAGTTTTAATGACATACATGTCTACAAACCCCGGCAAGGCTTGAATAATAAATTGCCAAGTGTTTTTTTCCCATTATTCGAAAACCTTAACAAAAGAAATTAAAATCAGTCTTAAACTAATTGACCAAATTTCTTAGCTGAATTTCATCTTCAAATTCTTTGGACTAGTTAATTTATCCTAAGAGATAATTTATACGACTGCATACGTTATGTTTATTATGTATTTATATTACTGCCGTAGCACATATAACGGAGACTCAGTTTACGTAGCACGCTTAAACTCCGTGAATTAACAATTTTGTTAAATTACGTTAAAGTTTGATAACTTAAGAGTGTTCAATATATTTAAAAAAAAACTTATATTATGGAATATTATATTATGATTTCAAGTTTTAGTGTTACTTACAAACATTAACAAAGAGTATGAATTTCCATTTTGTATAGCTTTCAAAACTTTACACAACAAATGCAAACAAAAGAACAAATGCATTTTGTTTTATTATTTCGTGTGCGTCTTAGAAGTTAATAATTTACAATCCGCACTCCAAGTCATTAGACACAATGAATATAATCCATATTATGTATTAAACTTAAATTATCACATAAAATCAATTTCAATACAAATATACATTTCTAATATACCAATTCAATACATAAACGTTCTAGGTTAATAGCAAAACAGATGTCAAGTCGTATTAAGTGCCAATAAAAAAAGAAAATGTGTAAAGCGAGTGAAGTAATAAATTACCCGTTTCCATAAACAGTAGAGGTGCGTTGCGCCGCTAGACGCCGCCGCGACTACAGGCAACCCCTATCATAACCAAAGCCATTCCTAAACCGCGCTCACAATAATTAGCTGGCAATAATAACCTACTAAATCGATCCAACCATTGAAGCTATACTCAAACTCAAAAATATGTTTATTCATATAGGTAAACAAGTACAAGAAGTTAAATTAATTGTAAATTTACATTTACTACCAGTATGCAAGTCAAGGGCGAAGAGCGGGTAAGAAGAACTGGCAAGAAACTTTCCGCCACTCTTTTTCGCCAATTATTGAGTCATACAAATTGTTTGTACTTGAGCAAATTATCCCAAGGATTAGGATTATTTAAGTATTCCTCAAATTTATAAAAAGCTTTATTGATTAATTTTCGCTTAACGAGGGCTTTGAATTTATTTAGTGATAATTCTCTAATTTCGCTTGGGAGTTTGTAAAAAAATAAGTTTAGCATCGTATTTGAAAAATTCTCGTGTCTTCATGTTACCAAGCTCCTCCGAAACTGGACAGATTTTTATGATGTTTTTGTGTATATTCGTAAGGTCTGTGATTTTATACCTCTTATTGATTTCTACGACCTGTTTTATTAACATTTTGGACAATCAGTTTAAAACACTGAATGTGTTTTTAATAGTGATAATACTGGTATAATTTTTATATGACCAAAGAACCTTTACCATGTTAGCTAATTGGGTACATAATAATGATTATATTATAAAAGATAATGAAATAGGTACAATTAGATAAAACGCTTAATAAGAATTCGTTCGCATTTAGAACTGTCTTCATTAGTAAACCTTTTATAACACCTTTAATAAGACTTAAAAATATAAAAATTGAATGAAAACATGAGAGCTGGGCCCTTACTCTGTAAGTTCCAAATAGCGATACCTAGAGCGATTCCGAGTTATGAGTTTTTGATCCGCGATTCCAAGGTTGCGTCAGCGCTACGGATATTGAGAGAACAACATCGTACATACAAAAGCGTCGGGATTGTTATCTGTCCTATGTCTTTTAAAGATCTATAAAGCTTACATAAAAATAAAAGTAAAGACTTATCAATTTTCAATTCTAGTGAATGTTTGTTAATTCTGCAGCTGAGTTTCATCATCGGACGTCGAGGTGATATGTGAAATTTCGTATTAGTACGTCGTTCTATAACTAAGCGTTTTTTTTTCAGTTTTTGCCGCAAGCCATCACTATGTTGAACCAACTGGCCATTGAACCAACTTGACTTAAGGTCCTTCTAGAAAAGTACCAACTCGTAAAATTCCGGCAACGCAGTCGCGTGTGCCCTGTGGGATTAAGAGTGTCCATGAGCGGCAGTATCACTTAACATCAGATGAGCCTCCTGCCCTTTTGCCCCCTATTCTATATAAAAAAACCTACCCCGAATTAGGCATTGAATAGATATACTTTATTGGTTGCCTTAATGTCACACCTTAAATCACACGTCATAAAATAGTCTACATATTATGTTAAATACTTCCGATCTATATAAATTGTTGTAAGCGCGCCCTTACAAATCATGACGCAATACATTCTTATAAAAGGTGTTTTACCCTTATACCCGTGAAGGTTTTCCGAATCACTGCGACACAATACTTAATATTACAGATTAATGTCACAAAAATGATATCAAAGTCAAAGTCAAAAATCATTTATACATATTGTAGGTAATAGTGTACACTTATGACGTCAAAAAAGAAATATACATTAAATGCTTCTAATTTTACATTTACTGCCAGTTCTCAATTCAAGGGCGTAGAACTGAAGAGAAGAATAACCAATAACCTCTCCGCCACTCTTTTTAATCACCAAGTTTTTTGTTTTACACAATGCTTGTAAGGAGCAACCATTACACTATGTTCCACATGACATCCTCAGTAATAAATAATAATAAAATAAATTAAAAACAAAGATTTGTCCTCTTGTCTGGAGGCATGGTGAATTAGGGGCACGCACTTACATTCACTGTAAGTATCAGTACTGTTTTTACGCAAAGCTTCTTGTTGACTTATGCTGTATTTAAATGCTAAGAGTAAACGAATAAGTAATTGTTTCACACTCAGGGCTGTGCAGAAATGTCGTACAAACGATATTGCTATCGGAAGTTACATAGTACCAGCGCAGGCGGAGACGTTTTGCATCATCATCGACCCTTTTTGCAGTTCATAATAATGGACAAAATTCAAGGCTACAGATGGAAGAAGGAAGAAGTCGTGGTTGCGGAACAGCCAACCTTTAAAACGGCACCTGAAGGAGAAGCTCAGGTTACCTGATATCTTGCATAAAGACATTGCCTTTCTTTAAAGTCTCTCCACTAAGATATAATCTAGCCAATCTTAAGACTAATCAGTAATATAAATGATATTTACCTACTAATAAAGATATTTAACATGTTTTTTATTCCTGCCTACAGATTCGTGCTTTGGTTCACGATCCTCACATCAACAACAACTAGGTATGCAAAAAATTCAGTTTTGTATCGCGCAGCACGGACATACAGCGACTAACAAAAGCCTTAACTTGTTTAAGCTATCGCGGAATATGCTTAAAATCTATTAAGAATATCCATATCGCTAAATACCCTGCGTTATGAGCACACCCCGACATACATACCCTCATTTTCACACCATCACATAACACAGGCGAATTAGGTATTATTTAATAATTTACATTGATTTATTTCTTTCGTAAATGTTTGAACCTTTTTGTATATATTATGTATTCCACCTTTGGGCTATATCTTTAGTATATATTTTTTTAAATATATAATTTAAGTAGTTTTATATTATTTAAATTAAGCAGAAGGTTTACGAAGTAAATAAACATGAGTCAATAAATACAGTCTCCGTGTAAGGGACTCTGTTGTGTTCTATTTTTTCCACTTACCACTGTATTTTAATACAATATTAAAACTCGTTTGTGATTGACAATTGGTGTACATATAAAGGGCATAGAAAATGTTCTAATTTGTATAAAAAATACACTTTCAAATACAACATTAAATGTCAAATTGAGATTGGCAGTTGACGTCACTCTATGGTCAAATTGTTCGCGTGATAAATTTTCATGTAAGATACTGCATATGCATTTATTGTGACCATAGCGTCGCGTGCGTGGGTGTTCTCAATATATCGATTACAAATTGAGTGCACATATGAGAAATTTAATAGAGTTTTCTTAGTTTTTAAATCAATGAAGCGATTTCTCCAAATATATTGTATAGTTCAATTATGTCTTTGAATTTATTAATCAGAACAAATGAAATAAATAGCTGATTCTCAGACTTACTGAATATCCATAAAAATTTCATAAGAATCGGTCGAGCCGTTTCGGAGGAGTATGGGAACGAACATTGTGACACGAGAATTTTATATATGTATTAGATATTGTCGATCCATTTGTCATCCACAATCTATTTTCATATTAAAAAAGATATCGTCCTTCTATTTGGATATAATATAATTAAAATGTATATTTATTTAACCACACTATCAACGAATGAGGGAGTTATTCGAATTGATAGTTTAATTATTAATGTATTTAAACGTCTATATAATTATTAAAAAAAGAAATAGCATTGCTTCAACCTGATTGTAGTCATAAATTGCGAAAAAAACGACACATTCGACCACCCATTAAGTTTAGTTACAAATATTCTGTCCCTCTTTCACTTGTAGTTTGCAGATTTACCGTCTCATTTTTAGCAACAAAATGTTTGTCTAATGTACCATTGTTGTTTTGGGGGTGGTCTGTGCGAGATTTTCAAACTTTGACGTGACATATGACGTTTTGTAACACTAACTTAAATTGACAATTAAATTCGTGTTTTCTAACATTTGTAAGGAGTAGAACATGATGGTTCTATGTTACTGCGTATTAGTAAATTAACGATATAATTATAAGCAAGGAGGGCAGGAGCCAAAGGAGCAAATTAACTATTATTTTTTTATTATTTAAACAACTTATCGTATTATACATATACATATATGTATGTAGGTATATCACGCAGCCAACTAACTTAATTAGCCGTTCAATTAACAGCCTAGTCGTTTAACTAATCGGCGCCGTTTAACTAGCGGCCTGAAAGATGTTCTAGTATTAACAGTTTTGAACCGATTTTACTTTGACGTTTTCAATTTATACGTATAATGACAATGACAGCTAAGAGTAATGCCATTGCTTCACAGTATTTTGATAATAAACTCGTGGACTTCCCAAATAACTTGTATAGTTTACAATTCGAATTTTAATATACCCATGGATGATTTAAAAATGTCTATACAAAAATATATTGTTACTACGATTATTATATTTTGTGCAATAAACAGGTATATTAACCACTAAGCCGTGAAAGCAAAAAGTAGTTCGTATATAAGTTTCACGAAATACCTGTATTAACCTGAAAAGCTTATCCATTAACTTTGCAGTGAAAAGGCAAAGGTTTTCATAATTAACCGTTGCACGATATACAGATAGTAATTATTGTTAAGCTGAGTACTGAATGATAAAATGTATGCTTGGCTGTTTCACTAAGATCTACATTATTTAGATTCAGTTCCAACGATTTGAGTAGTGACAGTCAAGGAGATTAAGTTTATTCAGTAGCCGCTGTGCTGCTATCGCTTACTTAGAATTATGTACGACGCTGAACAAATTGGAATATAAACTACATGGTACTCTTCTAGGTTAGATGGATAGCTCATGAAGGTAGCAAGAAGGAAGCCCCGATAGAATGCGTAAGCGACTCCTTATGCGGTAAGGGACGCGCTAGAGAAGTAGGATGTTTTAGTGGTATTGCATCAAGTTGCACATACCCCTGTAGCCAAAGAACTGCGGGGAATGCACAAAAAGCATGGGAGACGGTATCACTTAACATCAGGTGAGCCTCCTGCCCGTTGGTCTCCTATTACGAGTACATAAAACAATGCGTTTCCTTCTCGGTTGTAAAAAAAAGTATAGACTTATGTTTAAATTCTTGATTATGTTCAGATTGAGCAGTGTTGGTCTAGTGGCTTCAGCGTGCGACTCTCATCCCCGAGGTCGTAGGTTCGATTCCCGGCTGTGCACCAATGGACTTTCTGTCTATAACATTGCATGAATTACTTTATGCACCTATTTCGAACGAAACTAAACTGCATCGTATTGAACACGTACACGACAAAACTATTGTCAAGTTTGAGTAAAAAACTGATTAGGCAATTCACTATGTCAGAAGGAAATGTGCTTATTATATTAAATTTTTCAATATTATATATTGCAGTGTTTCGTGTGTACTTGACTCGAAACAGTGGTTGGCACCAGGTACCACTTTAATTTGAACTCAGTCCTGACAACACAACTGCGCAACATGCAGCTTCAAATTCACCATCTACTATGCAAAGTTCGTGATATTTTATTTATAACTAAGTCACTTAGCAAGGTTAGGTATTAACAATGCTTACATAAATGTATGTACGCTTCTCTTACATATCAAACTTTCTAATTAAAAATGGTACTTTATTAGTTTATAGACAAACATCTTTGTGTTTCAAGCAAGTTTTATTTGCGCACTTAAAAGTAAAATGTATTGGTTAACTTGAACCCACGACCCAAGGGTGTAGAATCCTACTGCTACTACTAAGCCAAAGCTGCTTCCATCATCAAATAAGATAATGAAGAAAAGATTATCCGGAATTCAACCACACTATGTACCTTAACGCAAGGTGTGTGCACAGCACAATACTGAAAGATTACCAAATATTTATTAAAATTTTCTAATCCACTGGACTTATTTTATTTAATATTGTTGCTTCAGTCATCGCTTTAATACACATTAAAATTTAAATGTTTATGAGTATTTGACCTAAGACATTTTATAAAGCAAAGTCGAATAGCGGTAGATATGACTAAATAATGATATTTGAAGGTGATCTTAGCGAGAGACAACCACCCTGTGTGGTCCGTATAAGCATACATTATATGTATTTTAAATTAATTCACCTTGGTAAGCTTAAATAGTTTTTAATATTTTTTTATACTTGCTGTTGCTAGGTGTCAGAACTAATAAAAATACATATGTCATGTCTCGACTGTGGTGGAATTATATTCTCTAATTTCAATAAATTTACGATGTGGAGTGCAGATAGGGCTTAAAGAGACTTTTGGCGGCTTAACAGACTTGTTAAATGACATAAAAACCAGAAATCAATGCCTTTGTTTTTAGGCAGCAGTTAAAAATACAATATATAGCTAAACAAGGACTCTTCCGACGTGGAAGAGGAGAGTCGGGTTGGAAGGAGTCTGGTAGCTCCTTGAACCTGGAGCGCAAACTGCCATGTCAGGTTCAGTTTAAGAAAATTATGTTATGAATCATTTTTGCAGTCAATTTTGTTATCTTAAATAATATTATGTGTCTCTGGATCTAGTTAACCGATTTTGAAAATCATTTTACCAATAGAAAGCCAGGTTATTTGTGAGTGACACAGGCATTACCTGAAATATGTAGGTGTTGTAGTTATTAAGTAAATCTGAGAGAAAACGGTAGAACGAAAACGTTTTCTCACGAAATCTCCCATAGGAAGAGAGATTCATGAATTCAGTTCTAGAGAAAAGTTGTAGAGCTTTCAGCATATGGCTAACTTTTTCATTACACAAAAACAAGTCCTTCATCGAGTCCATCGGTCTGTGTGTCTGCGATAAAATCAAAAATTACTGCACAGAATTTATTGCAGTTTTCACCAATATCTAGAATGATTTCTAAGGGAGATGGATTTCATTAGGATAATTAATATATTAATCCTAATGAAATTTTGTTATTTGTTATAATTTTCATCTCATCTTAAATTGTTCTGACGATTACCAACTCGCCAATTAAGAAAACAGTTGACACAAAAAAGTATTATATCAGTTATGAGACACCATATTATATACCTTTTGCATATTATTTTTCAAAAAGCCTAACACTATGCCATGAAACAAGCGCAAGACATATAAACCAATTAGTTTGATTTGAATCAGCTTATTATTATACCTACTTATTAGGAATTCCTTGCGCACTCGAATGACCTATGAGTAATCGCGATTTTTACAACAAAATTAAAAAATGAAAATGTGACCATAGTTTGTATATATTTGGGATTATTGAAAAATATTATTACTTTACATTAACTTTAAACAGGAAATAACTTGGGTCTCTATGGGCCCAGTTGGCAACTCTGGTTGAATTAAGCTCTGAATTCTGTTTCGTGGTCATAAAGCAAGATGCTGGCATAAACAGGGAATTGGGATACGTGAATTACTAATACTGATCGTACTGAGTTTGTTTTTTAATATCAAGTTATAAAACGTTTGTTTATCTTAATATATATAAATTACGTGTCACGTTGTTTGTCCGCTATTGACTCCTAAACTACCGAACCGATATCAATCAAATTTCACACCGTGTGCAGTTTGATCAATTTATACCCGCAATATTATTTTATTGCAAATTATTTGTTAATTATTTGATAGTCACAATTCTAACAGATGGCGCTATGTTGAAAGTACCAACGTTTCACATAAGCTACAATATAATTACATTACCACCAAAAAAACATGGTGGTCCCCATGACTGGTGTTCTTCTACCGTTTCCCTTGAATAATTTACTACTATGTATGTATAACAAAAACCTTAGTGACAGCAACACTTGGCCGGTCTGCTAGTATAATATAAAAACGTGCAATTCTAAAATTGAATAAGGTACACAGTTATTTGCAAAATTTTTTGAAGCTTTCCATGTAAGATATTTTTTCATTACTTTAGTATATGAAACTTAAACTTACTTGTACCATTTAAATATTAACAGAGGAAACATTTTACAAAAGAAATTGAATAACTAATAAACATAATAAATTATTTCTTAAGCGTATATAGGAATTAATTGGCAATGTAGTATTGTCTTTGATTAACATAACTTTTATTCATTTAATAAAACACTATTTTGACCGGATTGAAGTTATGTATTATTATAAATTTACAACTATTTAACATAATTTTAAATTAAAAAAGTGCGTGCTGTAAAGTACGCGAAACGTCGGATAAATTTAAAATTATGTTAAATAGTTGTAAATTTATAATAATACATAACTTCAATCCGGTCAAAATAGTGTTTTATTAATTGGCAATGTGAAAGCCCAGTCATATAGTAGGCAGCTACCTCGGACAAAGATTTAGTCTAGCTATTCAAAGGGGGAACGCTGCCAGTGTCTTCGAAACCTTGCCTTAAGGGACCCCTTTTAGTAATATATTTTAGTTATTATATTTAAAGCATAGTTCTTGTTTTTTTTGTTGTTAATTAATTTATTTAAAATAATGTAAATGTGTTTTGATTAATAAAGGATTATATGGTCATAATAAAATATATCATATTTAAAGCATCCAACGTTTTATTTAAGAATTGCAAATGTATTTGTATGAAATAGTTTATAGATGTTAGTCACTGACCTAATAAACTATTTGTCGTATCGTATCGATCGTATCGTTGTTTCGATATTGTTATGGGAAGTCCGTAAAATTTCAATTAAACGGCCACAATAGTCTCAATAAACTCGCTCTAGAATCAGCTTGTAGCTCCACCGGCATCGGAACCTATTGAGTGCCTTACTGTGCTCTCACGTGTGAATATATATTTATTTTGACCGCGACTTTTTGAATATAATTAATTTTAAATAAAAACCACAGGTTAGTGTTATTCTGGTGTAGGCCTAGTCACGTGACTCGGCTGTAGCTATATAGATATATTAACGATATATGTATTTTGAAAAAAAGTAAAAAACGAAATCTAATCTAATTAATGTAAGGGTTGTAATGCCACTGGACAATTATTATTATCCAAAAGTAATTAGCATTAAAAAACAATAGCATTTTGAGATGAAATCTTATTTTATTTATCTATTGTAGTGACTAAACTTATAGTTTGAAACATTAAAGTTAAATACATATTTTAATAACAAATAATTTATCATATTCTTTGTATAGCTTGCCAACCGTTGGATCCTTTGTTACAAATCTTTTATAAAACTAATAACGCTGAATTTAAATTTCAATCTTTTTAGTTTGAACAAAGCCCATAGGTTTATACTTTCAAGATCATCGCATTCTAATATCGAAATATACTTTAAATGATCGTGACCTATAACGGCAATAAAAACCTCTAGACCTCAGCTATGTTAAAATAAACAAAACTCATCCTATTGTCCAATACAGACTGGAGCAATGGTTACTGGGAACTGCGAATGCAGAATCATAGTAATTAACATCTTTGTCCTTGAACAACGCGCGACCTCAAAACGCGCGGCTCGTTATGTATAAAGAATCAAACGCTAAATCGGAGCTTAAATAAAAACCAGTTCGTCCGCTTACGATGACGTCAGCGTCAGTCGAGCTTCCGACGCTGAGATAGAAAACGATAGTAATTCTGATGGCCGATGGTTTACAGAGCCTTTGTTGGCCTAAGTTCTAGACAGGTTTGCTAACGGGTTTTTAAAAATAATAAAAAATTGTATGAAATTTTATTTATTTTATATATGTAACATGAAATGGCGCTCGTACTTATTTGTTTATCAACTTTTTTTAATTCAAACATTACATACAGTTTATTGTTAATTTAACTGTCAGGATTGTCAAACCATCAGTTGCGCACTTTCATACTTTAATGTCATATGATTTATTTCACTATCGCTTAACCTGTTTTAAAGTACATATCTTCATTCTCGAACTTAATTCCTTAAATCGTTATAGCGTTACTACTCTGATACTTTATTATATTACCTACTACAATTTTATTACAAAGTTACCATAATATATTTGTATGGGTTGTATGCCGGCAACAGGTTTTATAATCAAAAACCCTTCATTCAATAATTATCCAAAAGCAAAGTACTAAAAGGTACTCCGGAGGTGTCTAATCAGAATCATCGTAATGCCGTCCTCATTTTATTCTTTGATTGTGACAAATATAGGTATTGTCAAAAAGCTCAGTAATTTAGACATTGCTCTAAGTCGTTGTGCGTTTTAATAAACATGAGTAGCAAAGTTCAACAAAGAAGGATCGTACTGACTAGTCTATAGTTGAACTATTGTTGATAAAATCACACGAAACTTGAAGAGTTAGTTAAAAGAAGTTTTCGTCTGTAGATAGTGTTCGATTAATATTATTCTCGATTTATTTTTCATAGTTTTGCTACGCTACAGTACGTCAATTAGTTTAGCTAGGCTTACGTGCATACATCACATAATATGGAGATATTATTTAGATATTTTCATGAGTTGACATTGAAATACAGTGTGTCAAATTGTAAATCAGTACAAAAGGTATCATTTTTAAGTTACACAAAATTCTGGGTCACAGTTTTCTTTAAAAAATATTGAGACCAAAAATGTTCGCTTCGTGGAATAATACCTACACGTACGAATAAATTTAAATAACTACATTTGTGTTATTGATGATTAATTCGGTCAACCTATGTTTGAAACACGAGTGAAATCTGAAACTTAAACGTATGTATATGGTGGTCATTATATAAAAGTATAATATTTGTATTAGAGTCAAGTTATAACTTCCCGTAACCGACGAGCATGCATGGTGAATGTCATGGAAGTGGATGAAGCGAGAGAGGTATGTCAGGGCAGATCCGTGGTCTCTGCCTACCGCATCGGGGAAAAGGGCGTGAATATACAAATACAAAATATTTGTAGTAAATAAGAACCTATTTATCTATTGGATAATTAATCCTCTCGCGTCTCTTTGTAAATTAACAAGTATGTCAGAAAATATTGACCTCACACTACGGTTATGAATATCGCAGTACATGTTAATGCTCAAATTACTTATAGATAAACATAAAAACAAATGCATGTTGTTTAAAAAATTGCTTCACTCATAGGTCCACTAATTAAAATATATTACTATTACACACACCTAATTCAACCCGGTCTAATGTAATCCGATCCGGACTAATACAAATTATTTACTATCAATGTTATAATGCAAACTATCAACATTTAAATTAGGTACGTTGCTAAAAGTCACATTAAAAAATCAGGTATATTTTGGTAAATCTTAAATATACTGAACTCATTTATCATCTTATAATTTGGACGTACGTAATTCATAGTAAAAAGAACATACATATAATATATTTATATCATCGATTTTTTTTAATATTACTTAATAAATTTTACGTTTTTTGTTTAAATGTACAATCCCTTTTGTGCAAGTGTGTAGACATCGTAAATATAAGTATAGCTGTGGAAATACTTGAAATCAAATAAAGTTCATGAGCTTATAAAAGTTTTAAAACAAACATAGTTTTGTTGTGGTCTGGAGAG